GGCCGCAGCAGCACGGCCCCGCAGCGCAGGGGCACAGAGCAGCTGGCCCTGTCCCTGTCCCAGGGTGTGTCCCTGTCCCCAGGAGGTGTCCCCTGTCCCCAGGGGTGGCACTGTCACCTCTTGACGCAGTGGGCGGCGGTCAGCACCCAGAGCAGCCGCAGCAGCACAGCCCCGCAGCGCAGGGGCACAGAGCAGCTGGCCCTGTCCCTGTCCCTGTGAGCTGTCCCCTGTCCCCAGGGCTGTCCCCTCTCCCCCGAGGTGTGTCCCCTGTCCCCAGGAGGTGTCCCCTGTCCCTTTGTCACCTCTTGACGCAGTGGGCAGCAGTCAGCACCCACAATGGCCGCAGCAGCACGGCCCCGCAGCGCAGCGGGCCGTAGAGCAGCTGGCCCTGTCCCTGTCCCTGTCTCTGCTGTCCCCAGGGTGTGTCCCTGTCCCCGGAGGATGTCCCCAAGGAGTGTCACTGTCACCTCTTGACGCAGTGAGCAGCGGTCAGCACCCACAATGGCCGCAGCAGCACGGCCCCGCAGCGCAGGGGCACAGAGCAGCTGGCCCTGTCCCTGTCCCTGCTGTCCCCAGGGTGTGTCCCTGTCCCCAGGGTGTGTCCCTGTCCCCAAGGAGTGTCATTGTCACCTCTTGACGCAGTGAGCAGCGGTCAGCACCCACAATGGCCGCAGCAGCACGGCCCCGCAGCGCAGGGGATGGGGAGCAGCTGGCCCTGTCCCTGTCCCTGCTGTCCCCAGGGTGTGTCCCTGTCCCCGGAGGATGTCCCCAAGGAGTGTCACTGTCACCTCTTGACGCAGTGAGCAGCGGTCAGCACCCAGAGCGGCCGCAGCAGCACGGCCCCGCAGCGCAGCGGGCCGTAGAGCAGCACCTGCCAGGGCTGCGACATGGGGACACACGGGTACCCCCCGATGATCCTGTCGCCGTCGGGGGACAGCGGCACGCAGGTGGCACCCGCGCCGTCCCCCTCCGCCCGCTGGCCCGGGGGACACGGCGGCGGCTGGCACCGGGTGGCACCTGCGGGGACAAAGGGACAGCGGGGCTGGCGCGGGGCGGGGACGAGGGGGCGTCTCTGTGGGGACAGGGCCACCAGGAGTGTCACCTGGGCCACCAGCAGTGTCACCTGGGCCACCAGGAGTGGCATCTGGGCCACCAGGAGTGTCACCTGGGCCACCAGGAGTGTCACCTGGGGCACAAGGAATGTCACCTGGGCCACCAGGAGTGTCACCTGGGCCACCAGGAATGGCACCTGGGCCACCAGGAATGTCACCTGGGCCACCAGGAATGGCACCTGGGCCACCAGGAATGTCACCTGCATGGGGACAATGCCACCCAGAGTGTCACCTGGGGCACCAGGAATGTCACCTGGGGCACCAGGAGTGTCACCTCCATGGGGACAATGCCACCCAGAGTGGCATGTGGGCCACCAGGAGTGTCACCTGGGCCACCAGGAGTGGCACCTGGGCCACCAGGAGTGGCATTTGGGCCACCAGGAGTGGCACCTCCATGGGGACAATGCCACCCAGAGTGTCCCCTAGGCCACAAGATGTGTCACCTTCACGGGGCCACCAGCAGTGTCACCTGGGGCACAAGGAATGTCACCTGGGCCACCAGGAGTGGCACCTGGGCCACCAGGAATGTCACCTGGGCCACCATGAGTGTCACCTGGGCCACCAGGAGTGTCACCTGGGCCACCAGGAGTGGCACCTGGGCCACCAGGAGTGGCACCTGGGCCACCAGGAGGCCACCAGGAATGGCACCTGGGCCACCAGGAATGTCACCTGGGCCACCAGGAATGGCACCTGGGCCACCAGGAATGTCACCTGGGCCACCAGGAATGTCACCTGGGCCACCAGGAGTGTCACCTGGGCCACCAGGAATGGCACCTGGGCCACCAAGAGTGGCACCTCCATGGGGACAATGCCACCCAGAGTGTCACCTGGGCCACCAGGAATGGCACCTGGGCCACCAGGAATGTCACCTGGGCCACCAGGAATGGCACCTGGGCCACCAAGAGTGGCACCTCCATGGGGACAATGCCACCCAGAGTGTCACCTGGGCCACCAGGAATGTCACCTGGGCCACCAGGAGTGTCACCTGGGCCACCAGGAATGTCACCTGGGCCACCAGGAGTGGCACCTTTATGGTGACAGCAGGTGTGGCACCTTCACAGGGCCACCAGGTGTGGCACCTCCATGGGGACACGTGTGTCACTTCCACGGGGACAACACGTGTGGAACATCCATGGGGACATGGGGACACGTGTCACCTCGTGGGGACAGCGGGGGTGGCACCTCCATAGGGACACTGTGGCACCTTCATGGGGACACGTGTGTCACTTCCACGGGGACAACACGTGTGGAACATCCATGGGGACACGTGTGTCACCTCCACAGGGACAACAGGTGTGTCACCTCCATGGGGACATTGTCACCTGGGCCACCAGGTGTGGCACCTCGTGGGGATGCTGGCATCAGGTGTGGCACCTCCATGGGGACACCTGGATTGTCCCCTGGGCCATCAGGCGTGGGGACAATGCCACCAGGAGTGACCCCAGAGGTGTCCCCTGGGCCATCAGGCGTGGGGACAATGACACCAGGAGTGACCCCAGGAGTGTCCCCAGCTGTCCCCAGGTGTGTCCTCAGGAATGTCCCCAGGTTTGTCCCCAGGAGTGTCCCTAGGTGTGTCCCCTGGGCCACCAGGCGTGGGGACAATGCCACCAGGAGTGTCCCTGTGTCCCCAGGAATGTCCCCGTGAGTGTCCCCAGGTACCTGAGAGCAGCAGCAGCAGCAGCAGCGGCTCCACGGCCCTGAGGGGACACGGGAGGGGACACGGGAGGGGACACAGGTGACCTGGCTGCCCCTCCCCCACAGCCTGGTCCCACCCTCCCTCTCTTCTCCCTCCACCTTTTTCCCCCATTTCCCCTCCTTTTCTCCCAATTTCCCCTCATTTTCTCCCCCTTTCTCCCCATTTTCCCCATTTTTCTGCATTTCCCCCATTTTCCCCCATTCCCCATTTCATATTTCCCCATTCCCCCCTTCCCCATTTCCCCAATTTCCATTCCCCATTTCCCCTGTATTTCTCCCTTTTCCCCCATTTCCCCCCATTTCCCCGCTGTCCCCGCGCTTTTGTGGCCGCGCCCGGCCTGGGGGAGGGGCGGCGGCCGCTCCTGCCTCAGTTTCCCCGGATCTCGTTAATCCCGGGACGCTCTGACTCAGCCGCTCCCGCCCCGCTCTGGCCCACTTCGGCCCAGTTTGGCCCAGTTCGGAGCCGGCCCAGCCCCGCTTTTCCCGTCCCCCCCCCTTTTCTCCTGATTTTTCCTCATTTTTCCTGATTTTTCTCCCTTCCCACCCTATTTATCCCCTGATTTTCCCCATTTTTGCCTCATTTTCCCCTGATTTTCCCCATTTTGTCCCTTTCCACCCTATTTTCCCCCTGATTTTCCCCAGCTTTCAAAATTTTCCCTGATTTTCCCCACTTTTGCCTAATTTTCCCTGGATTTTGTCCCTTTCCACACACTTTCCCCTTTTCTCTGCCATTTCCCCCCCTTTTCCCCTGATTTCCCCCATTTTTGCCTCATTTCCCCCCTATTTTCCCCAGTTATTCCTCATTTTCCCCCTATTTTCCCCAGTTTTGCCTCATTTTCCCTGATTTATCCCCATTCTAGGATCATTTTCCCCTGTTTTTCCACCCTCTTACCCATTTTTGCCTAATTTTCCCTGGATTTTGTCCCTTTCCACACATTTTTCCCCTTTTCTCCCCCATTTCCCCTGCTTTTCCCCTGATTTTCCCCATTTTTGCCTCATTTTCCCCTGATTTTCCCCAGTTTTTCATCATTTTCCCTGATTTATCCCCATTCTTGGATAATTTTCCCCTGTTTTTCTGCCCTCTTACCCATTTTTGCCTAATTTTCCCTGGATTTTGTCCCTTTCCACACATTTTTCCTCTTTTCTCCCCCATTTCTCTCCCTTCCCCCCGATTTATCCCATTTTTGCCTCGTTTTCCCCTGATTTTCCCCATTTTTTGGTCTTTTCCTTGTTTTTCCTCCTTCCTGCCCATTTCTGCCTCATTTTCCCTCTGATTTCTCATATTTTTTCCTCATTTTCCCTGGATTTTGACCCTTTCCACCAATTTTTGCCCCTTTTCTCCTCCATTTACCCCATTTTTGCCTAATTTTCTCCTGATTTTCCCCATTTTTGCCTCGTTTTACCCTAATTTCCCCCACTTCTGGATAGAATTTCCTGGGATTTCCTCCTTCCTGCCTATTTTCTCCCTTTCCCCCCGATTTTTACCTTTTTTGCCTCATTTTTCCTGAGTTTTGCTCCTTTCTGCTCATTTCTCCCTCATTTTCCTTGGATTTTGTCCCTTTTTGTCACTATTTTGCCCAGTTTTGCCTCATTTTTCCTGGATTTTGTTCCTTCTCACCCATTTTCCCCTCCTTTCTCCCTGGTTTTCCCAAATCTTCCCCCTTTTCCCCCAGTTTTCCCATTTTGGGCTCATTTTCCGCTACATTTCCCTCTTTCCACAGATTTTTGCCTCGTTTACCCCAATTTTTTTCTCATTTTCTGCCTATTTTTGACTAATTGTTCCCTATTTTTCCTTTTTCTGCCTGATTTTCCCTCATTTTCCCTTGTTTTTGTCCAATTTCCCCCCTTCCTGCCCATCTTTCCTAATTTCTCCATTTCCCCCCACTTTTCTCCCTTTTTTGCCTGTTTCCACCCTGATTTTTCCCATTTTCCCCATTTTTTCTCATTCCCCCCCTTTCCCCCATTTCCTCCCAATTTCTCAAAATTTTCCCAATTTTGCCTGATTTTGCCACTCCTTCCTGCCCATTTTGATGCAGAAAATGAGAGGGGAAATGAGGGAAAATGAGGCAAAAATGAAGAAAATCCTGAGGGAAAAATGGAAGAAAAGGTGAGGAAAATGTGAGGGGAAAAAATGGGTGGAAAAATGAGGAAAATGTGAGGGGGAAAAGAGGGGGAAATGAGGGGGGAATGGCAGAAAAATGAGGGGGAAAAGGCAGAAAAAGTGAGGAAAAAAGGTGGGAAATGTGAGGCAAAAATAGAGTCCAAAGTGACAAAAAACATGAAGGGGAAAAGGGAGAAAGCGAGGAAAATATGAGGGGGAAAAAGGCAGGAATTTTGAGGGGAAAAAGGTGGGAACTGTGAGGGGGAAATGGCGGAAAATGTGAAGGGAGAATGGTGGGAAATGTGAGAGAAAAAAAGGCGGGAACTGGGAAGGGGAAAGAGTGGGAAATGTGAGGGGGGAAAATGGAAAATGTGAGGGGAAAGGGCAGGAAAATTAGGGGAAAACGGCAGGAAAAGTGAGGGGGAAAAGGTGGGAAATGTGAGGGGGAAATGGTGGGAACCATGAGGGGAAAATGGAGGGAACTGTGAAGGAAAAATGGAGGGAAATGTGAGGGGGAAAGGTGGGAAACGTGAAGGGAAAATGGAGGGAACCATGGGGGGGGAATGGAGGGAAATGTGAGAGGAAAATGGAGGGAAAAGTGAGGGGGAAAGGTGGGAAATGTGAGGGGGGAAATGGCAGAAATTTTTTGGGGAAAAAAGTGGGAAATATAAGGGGGAAAATGGTGGGAACTGTGAAGGAAAATGGAGGGAGACATGAGGGGAAAATGGCAGGAACCATGAGGGGAAAATGGCGGGAAATGTGAGGGGAAAATGGAGGTTAAATGTGAGGGGAAAATGGCAATAAACATGAGGATAAAATCGTGGGAAACACGAGGGGAAATGGTGGGAAGCGTGAGGGGGAAATGACAGAAACTTCAAGAGGCAAAAAAAGTGGGAACTGTGAGGGAGAAAATGCCAGGAACTGTGAGGGGAAAATGGAGGGAATTGTGAGGGGAAAATGGCGGGAAATGTGAGGGGAAAAGGGAGGAAATGTGTGGGAGAAAATGGCAGAAACTTTGAAAGGAGAAAAAAGTGGGAAATGTGAAGGGGAAAACGGCAGGAAACGTGAGGGGAAAATGGCGGGAAATGTGAGGGGAAAAGGGAGGAAATGTGTGGGAGAAAATGGCAGAAACTTTGAAAGGAGAAAAAAGTGGGAAATGTGAAGGGGAAAACGGCAGGAAACGTGAGGGGAAAATGGCGGGAAATGTGAGGGGAAAATGGCGGGAAATGTGAGGGGAAAATGGCGGGAAATGTGAGGGGAAAATGGCGGGAAATGTGAGGGGAAAATGGCGGGAAATGTGAGGGGGAAATGGCAATAAACATGAGGAGAAAATGGTGGGAAACATGAGGGGGAAAGTGTGGCAAATGTGAGGGGGAAAATGGTGGGAACTGTGAGGAAAAAATGGAGGGAAATGTGAGGGGAAAAGGTAGGAAATGTGTGGGAGAAAATGGCAGAAACTTTGAAAGGAGAAAAAAGTGGGAAATGTGAAGGGGAAAACGGCAGGAAACGTGAGGGGAAAATGGAGGGAAATGTGAGGGGAAAACGGAGGGAAATGTGAGGGGAGAATGGCAATAAACATGAGGAGAAAATGGTGGGAAACATGAGGGGAAAAGGTGGGAAATGTGAGGGGGAAATGGCAGAAACTTTGAGAAGGGAAAAAAGTGGGAACTGTGAGGGGAAAATGGTGGGAACCCTGAGGGGAAAATGGAGGGAACTGTGAGGGGAAAATGGAGAGAAATGTGAGGGGAAAATGGAAGGGAAAAGGGCGGGAAATTTAAGGACAAAAAGGATGGGAAATGTGAGGCAAAAAAGTGAAACTTGAGGGGAAAAGGCTCCCAGTTGGCTCCCAGTTGGTTCCCAGTGCTCCCAGTTGGCTCCCAGTGCTCCCAGTTGGCTCCCAGTTGGTTCCCAGTGCTCCCAGTTGGCTCCCAGTGCTCCCAGTTGGGCTCTGGGCCACCCCCAATGACCTCACCCCCCTCCCCAGCCAATCAAATGAAGGAGGCGGAGCCAGATGCACACTCAGCTGTGATTGGTCTTTATTGATGAGCAGGGGGCGTGGCCTCGGCTGGCCCCACCCCTGGGGCAGGCATCGCTGTCTGATAGATCACCACGGGCTGGGGGCGGGACAGGGGGCGTGGTCAGCGTGTGCCACGCCCACATCCCCACCCCAATGCCCATATAAGGAAAGCAAGACTCTTATAAACCACACCCCCCCTCATTAATCACCCCCTGGCCACGCCCCTCCTGTCACTCACCATTGGCCCCGCCTTGGGGCGTGCCCTGCTGGCCGCCACGCAGCCAATCACAGCCAGCACCGCCCCCGCTGCTGATGACGTCAGCAGCAGCACATGCGTGCCCAGCAGCGCCCCCTGGTGGGCGGGAAACGGGGGAAAATGAGGGGAAATTGGCACAAAACGACAGAAAATTGACACTGACCTGAAATTGACCCCAAATTGACCAAAATTTGACCCAATAATGGATCTAAACCCAGCCCTAAATTGACCCAAACATGACCCAAAATTTGATCCAGAACTGACCCAAAATAAATCCCAAACTGAGCAAAAATTGATTAAAAATTGACCCCAAATTAGACCCAAACTGGCCAGAAATTGACTAAAAACTGACCCAAAAATGGCCCAAAATTACCTGAAATTGACCTAAAAGTGACTCAAAATTGACCTGAAAATGACCCCAAAATTCACCCCAAAATTTGTCCAAAAATGACCCAAAACTGACCCATAAGTGACCATAAACTGCCCCAGAGTGACCATAAACTGCCCCAGAGTGATCAATAACTGCCCCAGAGTGACCCAGAGTGACCAATAACTGACCCAAACCATCCCAGAGTGACCAATAACTGCCCCAGGGTGACCAATAACTGCCCCAGAGTGACCCAGAGTGACCAATAACTGCCCCAGGGTGACCAATAACTGCCCCGGAGTGACCAATAACTGCCCCCGGGTGACGCAGAGTGACCAATAACTGCGGCCCAAACCATCCCAGAGTGACCAATAACTGCCCCAGGGTGACCAATAACTGCCCCAGAGTGACCCAGAGTGACCAATAACTGCCCCAGAGTGACCAATAACTGCCCCCAGGTGACCCAGAGTGACCAAAAACTGCCCCAGAGTGACCAATAACTGCCC